CAGATCTGGTATGTATCTTCTCATACCCTAATTCCTCAAGTTATGATGCAGAAGGTACTTGGAGTTACAGCAATTGTGTTTTGACTGATACATTCTCCAGTACCTTCTCTGGCTTCCCTGCTCCTGTTAAAAACCTGAAACATAACTGAAATTCATCTACTCGAGTTCTATGCAGCATCAACAGCAATGGAATTGGGAAAAGTCAGCTGGCAGAAGGAGAAAGCTGTGTAAACTTCAGGTAATTCTTATCCTTCCAATTTAGCTCAGATGTCAATTTCTTCTAAGACCTAATTCTTTCATCCCCTGGCTAGGCTCTTATAGCAGAGTATTCACTGTACTTGCCTCATGGTATTCTGTCCACTTACCTGTCTGGACTATGTTCTTTGAGGGCAAAGATTTTATCTTAGCGTTTCAACTCCAGACCTAGTACTAAGTCTAGCACACAGTAGGTGCTGACTAAATGTACAATGAATTTTAAAACCTACCACTTACACTGGAGCCCCAATATAATCATCTAAAATGTGGCTGTCCTATTATGATTTAAAACATGATTTTCAAACATTTTTTTAGCAGTAGACATTTTTGAAAAATATTACCAAAAAAAAAAAAAAAAAAAAATATTACCAGAAACAGCAATATGGAAAAGCAACACATCAGTCCTCAGGTGATTAAATTCTGTGTGTGACAGAAAATACCTCACTTTAAGACCCATAATCTTGTAACAAGTAGCAGTCACAAAGGCAAGAGCCAATGTGACTCAGGCATCTAAGTAACTTTCTTCCCTCTTTACCTCCATCTTGCATCAGTTTCCCTCCTTCCTAGAAGAGGATCTGCTCTCTAGGAGTACAGATCTATCTTTATTGGTGGTGGGGCTTAGGAGCAAAGAGACCACTGGCCACTACAAAAGCTACGGAGTTCTAGTTGCTAGTTATAATGGTAACTTGCTGGAGGCCTGGCTAACTTCTGAACAAACAGAAACGCACTGAATCCAACGTGGCAGACCTATTTCTATAGGTGGTAAAGATTACCCACTTGTCTAGCAGTATGTGGCTAGGAGCTAATTAAAACAAGGTACAATATCAATGCATTCTAGATTTCTCCACAGAGCTCCTTTATTGTACATAGATCTTCCCATAGATATCAAATATAGGAGAGTATCCTTCCCACTCCCACGTGCAGCAGTGTGGCATGACAGAAAGCACATAGTAGAAAGGATATTCATGGGCTTTGGAGCCAGTCACACCAGTCTGAACTGCAGACCATCACTTACGAGATAGACAACCTTGGGAATGGTACTTAACTTCTCTACACTTCAGATTCCTCATCCTTAAAACATAGAACCTACTTCATTAGAATTCTTGTGAGAATTAAAATCAGGCACATATGGCTCCTAGAACAGTGAGCACTCAAAAAATGGATATCATTATTAATAATATTCAGATTTAGCTTTGGTAAAAAGGCAAAAAAGAAACCAAATGTTATTGGCTTCAGCCTTTATGTAAGATGAAACTGAAAATCAACAGAGGAAAAAAAAAAAGGAAAATTACAATATCAAAAAAAAAAAACGACGACCCACAATGGGAATATTTGTTTTTAATATATGTCACATTATCTAAGATGAAAGAGCAGAGGACACAGGTCATTTTCAGGTCGTCACAGACCTTTACCAAATTTAGTTCCTTGAAAGAACCCACTGCACTGATTTTCTTAACCAAACTGGCTGCCCCAAAACAGTAACTAGAATCCCCAGAAGTGTCAGCAACCCTGAGAGAAATTACACCCTGAAGCCTTTCCATATAAATAGAACACCATGTATCCATAAACAGACTGCAAAACTGTTTAAGTCAGAACTATATGGGCACTTGAATTTAAATTAATTCTTTAATTATGTGAAGGGTGAGCAATTTCTATCTAAAGTACCAGGCCTTTAAATGGGGGCCCCACAACCCCATGAAAATAAATGTAAGATTTCCTGTGCATGGAGAGTCTTCCGTGCAGAGCCTGTAAGCTTTCATCAAAATGTCAAAGCTGTTACCCAGAAAAGGTTAAGAATCACTTCTAAGATGCTCAACAGAGCCTCTTGCCATCTCATACTGAGAAGATGGGGTGAGCCTATCTCAAGAAGAGTATTCTGAAGTGCCAAGCTTATAAACTATTCACACTGGATGTTATGAAAACTCTAAGCATATTTCTCTCTTGCCATTAGCACTTTTCATACCAGGGTTTGTCTTCTTTCACCCTCACCATCCCTACCCACCCTCCACCGTGTCCATCCTTTGCAGGCCCCATTCCTTGCTACTTTGCAGTCAAAGGCCTCCACCTGAAATAGTCTAAAGAGCCTGCTATGCAATACTTATGTTTATTTAAGCAGGTTCCAGTTTATATTCAAATTCATAATCACCAGTATTTCCCTTCATTTCTGATGTCACTTTACCACTACGTACAAAAGGACACCTTATCACGCAAATTTCCTTTTAGTATTTTTACAAATTTAAAATAATATCTCAATTTATTAGTCCAAAAATCAAACACAACAGCACCCATACAATCTGAGAAACTGGACATTTAATGGAGCCATGGAAAGAACAACTCTAGCTTTGCACCCATCTCGATGCTTCGTATCAACTTTTCACACAACCAATTTCATCAAATATATACAAATTCCCACACTTACTCAAGGAGGAAAAGCAGAATTGCTCTATTTCAATCCATTTTAACCAATTCCCTATTAACATTCATAACATTTCATCATTGGTATGTTGTAATGAAATCTGTAACCTACACTTCATTTACTATACAAGCTTTTAGATTTTAAGCAATTATAATCTTTCAGGGTGTAAAACAAAGAGAAGATAGCCAAACTGTGAAATACATCAGGAAGAAAATGTCAGCTTCAATGGCACAATGCAAAGTAAATACCTAAAGCCACATAAAACCAAGTATCCTGAAATACTACAAATAGATTTTAAAATTGTCTCCATTGGAAATTAATCTTAAATGTATGCCCTTTAACAACTGTTGCAGTATATGCTACTTTTATGTTGCAACAACTCAAAGAGTTTTTCTAAGTCCTTTCTTTGTGAAAGGCACTGAAAAAAAGCACACTTCAAACACTTAAGTCACAACTCTTGGTGTCCAAATAACGCCACCAAATTCCACAAGCACCTTCATATTCAGCAGTGTGGTCCTTAGTTATCACTTTGTACACCAAGAACACATACTATGGGCTTTTTATTTGTTTAATTGCCAAAACAGCTCCAATATGCAGGTAATGAATAATTTACTTTGCATGAAGCCATGGAAAGAGCAACTCTAGCTTTGTACCCTAGTCTCAATGCCTCTGGTATAGGAAGTATAGGAACTCTCGGCCCTAACCAAGTATGGGCAATCAAGACCAAAAAAAAAAGACTAAAGTTAGGAATTTATATTCACAAAGCATTAAGTGAAGATATGTTTAAGAGATAAAGCAATGAACTCCACCTTGAAGCAGGAAAATCAGTCAACCTCTTCCCCACAGTAGAACTAGGGATATTGATCAAAATCAACCCGGTTTTCCGTGAGCAACACTGAAGTATCTCCAAGCATTTTCATCCGCGAACAATTCTTAATTGAACAGAATCACGCAAGATAAAAACATTATGAAATCAGCACACACATCACACTGGAATGGGAATTATCTTTACTCTGCACCACACTGCCTGGACTGAAAAAATGTGGACTAAAAAATTTAAAGGGAAAATGACACTTGACAGAAACCAAAACGATGACCTGAAATGACTCTAGAAGGGAGGTACCTTTTCCTTCTCAAAGTAATCGATACAGACGAGAATTAAACTACAGACTGTGAAATCAATCTGTGGACCTCACAACAGTTAGTTTTTATTTGCTCAAACACCCTACTCTCTCTAGAAGTCAAACACACGATGACACCAATACAAAAACACAAGACAGCTAACATCCAATGATCATTTATTGATTTACACAAATACAACGGATTGGGGGGAGGGGTGCAATGATGAAACGGTATTCTCAGGTTGGTAATAACACCTTTCTAAATCTCCGTGGAATCCATGAATTCAACGTTTTACCTTCACCGGCTAGTTTTTGACTAAAATACCTCGTCACCAAGTCTTTTCAATCAAAGCTGTCCAAAAATTCTACAATCGAGCAAATAACATGGAATTAGACACATTCAATACCAGACTTTCCTCCAGGAGCCCTGGTACCCTATCGACAGCAGGCCTATGAAGAGTGACTTAAAGCCCTTATTCAGCATTACACAAGCCTTCCAAGAAGTGAGACTTTTGGGGGTGATGGGTAATGTCAGTTAACTTCCTCTTCCTATAAAAAGGTCAAAGACAGGGAAGCGTCCGGTGTAACATTTCCTCCTCAGATCGCGTTCCACCACAAACCACATCACAACTCCCCCAATCGCTAAAAAACATTAACCAGAAGGGGTGCTTTCTGTAAATATTCACAGTAGACTTAAAATCCTACTTACCTCAGAAAGGAGCTCAGTTTAGTTTCCAACAGGGAATTTACCAATAAAGTTTATTACGTATTAATAATAATAATTAGGGAAGCCCACCGTGCCCCGCTGCGGGGGTGGGGGTGGGGGCTGAAGGGAGATGAGGGTGTAGTCCTCACAACAGAGAAAAGCCTCCCGCCTCCCCTACAGGGCTGGTCCCAGGCACCAGCAAATTCGGCCTAATCAGGGGGGAGGGGGTTAATGCAGGAAAGGCGAGAAGGGGGAAGGGTCCCCCAGCTCTAAAAGGGAAGGACTGCAGGAGCAAGGCCGAGTGGAGCCACCATTCACAGTATTGCCGAGGGTCCCGGGTCCCCCGCAGTGCTGCTTGCCGGGCACCCCGAAAGCTCCGGCGAAGCCCGGTGCCTTCCCCGGCTGGGTTGTGGCAATAGGCAGAAGGGTCCCCGGAGGGGCCACGGCCCCCTGCTCTGCGGCGACGGGAGCCGAAGGGGCGGCAGGAAGGTGAAAAGGATACTGTTGGGGCGCCTGGGTCTGGAGGGCCCTGAGGTTCGGGTGAGGAGGGGCCGCTGCCGCTACCGCTACCGCCGCCGCCGCCGCCGCCGCCGCCGGGTGAGGAGGCGGTACCGCTGCCGCCGCCGCCGCCGCCGCCGCCGCCGCCGCTCCGGTGCCGGGTCCGGTTCCTGCTGCAGCCGCTGAGCCTGATTTCAGAGCCGGTTTCTGCGGTAAACTCATGGCAAAGCGAAGCCACCAACCCCCCCAGAGCGGGACCGGGCGCGCCGGGGTGCAGGGGCCGGGGACAGCGTGGGGACGGGATGGGGGCAGACCCGGGGAGGCGGCGGGAGCGGGGGGCCGGGGGCAGGCTGGGAGGAGGAGGAGGAGGGGGCCGGGGCCGGTCACACACGCCCGCCGCCGCCGCCGCCGCCGCCGGCAGCAGCAGCCGCCCCGCGGGCCAGCACCACCGGCTGCCGGTCTCCGTGACAACGCGACCCCGGGGGGGGGGCCGGACCCGGCGGGGGCAGGAGGCGGAGAGACCGGACCTTTCACTGCAATATCCTCATGGGCCGGCGGCGGGGGATCTTTGTCCCCCTCCCCGGGGGAAGCGGCACCCCTCTCGGTAGCGGGGCTCAGGCGATGCCGGCGGATTTTCTTCACTCAACGAGCAGAGCATCCAACATGGCGCTGCGGCCGCCTCCAGCAGTCCGGCAGGACGGCCGCTCGGAAAACTTCGGGCCCTTTCGGAGTGCCTCGGGAGGCCGACGGTGGGAAGCCCCTTCGGCTCTTTCCGGAGACTGCGAGCGGTCGGGATTCTTCGGAAAAACTCGAGGGCGTCTTCGGCCGCAGTTCGGGAGCGCTCTGGGGCTACCTCGCTTCCTCGGGAAAGATCGCCAGGGGTGCTTCCCCGCCACGCTGCAATGGGGGTGCAGGGCGAGGAAGAGACCGAAGGCGAGGTTTGATCTGCGGGAGCCCTGCGCTGCCGCCCAGCCTCGAAGAAAAATGGCAACGGCACTGAAGCCTGCGGTCCGCCGAGCCCTGCCCGCAGGGGCCGGAGGCGGTGAGGTGAGAAACCTCGGTTACAGTGGAACGAACCGCTTAACCAGAGCGAAACCGCTGAATAGGAACCAGCCGCGTGCACCTATTAGCATAACAAATAGCGCTCGCCGGCGCTTAATGGTGCGGTTCACGTCCATTGTGTAAACATTTCGCCCTCCTATACTCAGAGAGGTTACGTGGAGTGAAGAGCCCCATTTCCAGAGCATACTGAGGCTGGGAGAGAAGTGACTGGCCCAAGGTCACCCAGCCAGGAAAAGGCAGATCTGAAGTCCACCTTCATCTGTTTCTGCCTTCTAAGTTACCACGGGACCTGATCCGACGTGCCTTAATGTCATGAGGCCTGCCCCAAGACTGGAGCGCCCTTTGACCAGCGGCCAGTGGTCAGCTCCCCAGGGACCTACGCAGGGAGAACTTGCCAATAAGCTCCTTTTCACACCAGCTAGACCAAGACCACCCCAGCCCCTCCCCACACATCCCACCCCCATCCGGGTCCTTGTCCTTGGCACCAAGGCACTGAGGCAAAAAGCCCTGGTCATAACCATTACCAGCCACTGAGCCCCTCAAACAGTCCTGTGAAACAGGTAGTACCCATTTTACAAATGAAGAAACTGAGATTCAGGAAGGCCCAATACCATTAGACAACAGAAGAGACTGAGGTGCAAAACAGACAATATACTTTCTCAAGGTCACATATAGAGTGTAGTTGGTAATTTGGCCAAGTCAAAATTAAGAGTTCAGTTCTGACTCCTGCTATACTGCTTCACCCTGCCTTCCTTTTCTTTTTTAATTCACATTTCATAATTCACGTAAAGCTCTGTACATGCAGGGTGTTTAATTCTTACAGTCCCTGGGATCCCCAAATGCTCCCTCAGGGAGAAAGAACATCTGGAAGAGAGAGTGATACCACTACCCCCAAGGACATCTTTCTTGTGAGGGTTCCACTAGCCTTGGAAAGGAAGCCTCATCCCCCACCTCCAGAACTAAAGACAGGAGCTACTTTATCCTCCTTCATACTCTGGAACCCTAAACCATTTGGATTTGTAATACCTGATCACTTAAGATTGGATTTTCTGCTCTTCTCCTGGCATGACTGGCTCCAGGAAAAATTCCCAAATGGTCTAAATGGGCCCAGATTCTCCTTCCTTGTTCCGAGATCTCAGACTTCCTCATCCTGTTCCCAGGATAGAATTTAGCTTCACATTTACTCTAGGGTGATAACAGACTGATAATTGCTTAATTGTTATTCTTTTCTGAGCTAGTTTCATTTTCTAACTTAATAATAGCTACAAGCATCAGGCAATTACTGTGTGCCTCATCTTTGCTAAGCACTTTATAAGCATTATCTCTCTTAAACTGGAGAGACCTTGGGCAAAATAACATAAAAGTCCCTGATAAGATCCTAGCTCCAGGCAATCAATTCAGGGAGGCTTATAGGGAGCAAAGTAAAAAAAGTAGAGCATTCTCCCTTCATCCAAAAGCATGGTGCTGTTCAACACCTCCCCTCTCACACAGAGCAGCTAGTATTATTGAATACCTACTATGAGCCAGGGCACAACTCAACATTCTGCTTAGATTAACTCTTAATCCCCTCAACAACTCTGCAAGGTATTATTATGTCCTGTTTACAGTAAAGAAACTGAGGCTAAGATATGTGAAGAAGCACGTTGTATAACTTCTAAGTGGAAATGCTGGTATTCAAGCCAAGGTATCTGACTGCCGGTCTGATCTGCCATACTACCTTCAACACAGCAACCTCCCCACTGTGGCTGATTTCCTGAAGTTGCCTACCAAGAGCTCTCAATGGCTCCCCATTGCCTTAGGATCCAGTCTAAATTCAAGATCCTTTAGGAGCTGGGCTTGCTTCTTGCCATGTTGACCTCAAATCCAGAGCAGCAGCCACCTTGGTATACTGCAACCAAAGCATTCTCCTTCTCACCCTGGGGACTGCAGAGGAACTATTCCTACTACCCACAACTCCAAACCATCCTCATTCCCCTTAACCCATTGGCTAATTCCTGCTCCCCACTTCAAGACTTAGCTCAGATCTCACCTACTCTAGGCAGCCTTTCCTTATGGCCCAGGCTGAGCTAAGCACCCCTTCACTAGNCTGGATGTATTTTAGCTATTATTATTAATTTGCACAGGAACATTATTTGTTCATTTAAAATATCCCCTATATCTAGCACTCTGTTATTAAATAGGATATGAAACATGCTGAAGGACAAAATAATTGGGAATTGCCAGGGGATTTCATATTACTCCAGAGAAGTGCTGGGTACCACAGAGCCCAAGCTAGGCCTCGTTGAATAGGGAAGAAGGATGAGAACATCCTAGAACGGCAGCAGTAGCCACAGGAGGAGTTTTCTGTCTGTGACCTCTGCTATTGCCAAAGCCCACTGTGCTGCCTCCAGCCGAGACCTGCATTTCAACCCCCCCAGAATAAATATACCTCTTCATCCTCATTTGAAGAGCCATTCAGACAGGTAAAGGCTTGGTTTATACATCTGATGGCTGGGTAATGGTGCTTTGCTCATTATCATGTGGGGAGTCACTGCTCTGAAAAGAACTGGAGATTGGGCTCAGGGGACCCCTTAATTTGTTCATTGAAACTTGCAAGCCAGAGTTCCCTGTCACCTTCATTTTTTCTAGACTGGCCTTTTTTAGCAAAAGACAAGCCATATTATGCCAACTGAAGCCGTCTTTAATAGACACAGAGGGGTTTGTACATTATTAGGTGTTCCATTCTGATACATGGAAATATCTACCAAGGCCTGGTAAGGGCAGAGCTTAGCATGGACTTCAGTGGCCCAAGATCTAAACCCTAGGCAGTGAAGACACACAGATGGGAGGCCAAGAGGGTTTTTAAAAAAAAGGAAAGACAGACTGCAGGGCACCCATCTGAAGTGGACATTAGTGAAAGGCAAGAAGCCCCAGTGGAAAAAGTAAAGATATATTTTGCCCCATTCCTTGTACTTTAAGCATGTTCATAATCAGCCACTAATGTTCTTCAGTAAAGAGCTGTGTCAGCAGGCCCTTCCACATAGCACAAGGCCCAGTGAAAGGGTGGCACTCCCTTTCAAAAGTCATAAACTTGAAGACAGATCTGGATTCTAACCTTACAGACTAGCTGTATAACCTTAAGCAAGTTTCCTAACTTCTCTGGGCCATTTGCAAAATAACACAGGGGGTCAACCTCTACAGGATTGAAAGCTTGTCTGTACAGGGCATCACCAGAGCCTAGGGCACATAGGCACCTCAAAAAAAAAAGCGTAACTCCTTCCCTATGCCCTGCAGGGCAAAGCTGCAGCGCTCTCACTTCCTGGGATCAGGTTAGTTTATCCCTCTGCTTGCAGGGTGGGCAAGGGCCTTCTGTTTCTCAGCTCCTCCTGGAGGTGACCCCAACCCTCACCAACCACTGTGGCTACAGATAATTCAGCTTCACTGGGATACAAGAGGGACCAAAAGGTATTATTATAGAATGGTTAAGATGGTAAATTTTACATTATTTGTATTCTACCATGTTTTTTTTTTTTTAGTATTATAATAGAGTCTAATCAGGAGTGACAATGCCTTAGGGATTACCTTAACCCAGTGTCCTGGTTTTAGGAAGAGAGCCCATAAATAGGGAAGGATTGTCTTGAGGTCATACAGCAAATGAGCTGCAGAGCCAGTGCAAAATTCACCACCACTCTTCACTGCTAGGCCAGGGTGTTTCTCAGTATCTGATACCAACCTCTTATTCAGAAGCAGGATGTCAACCCCCTGGTCTTTTCCCACCTCAGGCCATTCCTTCCCTGCATTCCTCTGGAGTCACAGCCAATCTTCAGAATTCACTTAACAAGCATTATTAAGTGACAGCTGTGTACCAGACCCTGTGCTGGGCCGCTAGAGAGGAATATGAGGCCACATCTATTGGATAATAGAAGAGAGGTAAGTAACTGGACCTACAAGTTGAGTAATCCCCATGATTATTTACATTAAAAAGTTAAGATCATGTCAATTCTCTGCTCAGAGCCCTCTGCTGTGTTCCTTTCTCACTGGATTAAAAGCAAAAGTCTATTCAATGGCCTACAAGGCCCCATGTGATCTCTGTCTCCCACCCTCACCTTTACCTCTCTGAGCTTCTCTCCTATGATTCTCCTTTGGTGCAATGGCCTTTGGGATGTTCCTTATACCAGGCACATGCCCATCCAAGGGCGTTTGCACTTTCTGTTTCCCTGGGGTACCTGCACAGCTCATTCACTCACTTCTTTCTTATTTCTGCTCAAATACGGCCTTATCAGAGAGGCCTTCCCTGACCATCCCGTATGAATTAGCAACCCGCTCCCAAACCCAGCACATCCTAGCCTATTTTATTTTTCTCTAATTATTCTTATCACCAGCAGACATGTGACATTTACATATTCATGAGTTTAGGGACTGTCTTTCCCGATTAGAATGTTAGCCCTCAAAGAGTAGGGATTTTGTCTGTTTTGTTCA